AGGTCAGGATAGGCCTAATTTTCACAATATTACACAGATGAAAAAATGCAGTCCGTGAGGTTTGTTTTAAATGAGAATTAAAAGACAAATCTTGATCAAATGTTACTCCGAGGTTTCTTTCATGTGCCTACATGGAAAGCCTAAGGTGGAGAGAGCAAACCTCCCTGCCCTTCCATGCACCTACATGGAAAGTTTAAGGCAGGGAGAGCAGCAGCAAAGACCCACAGGAACAGAACAGAGCAGCATCAATGACAAACAGAAATGACATCGATAAGTCAGACGCAGCATCAAAAGGAGGAGCTGGGGTGGAGGTGAGTTGTAAAGTGGCTTGCAGAGGAAGCAGCAACAGTAGGCAGGCCAGAGCAGTTTAAATAGGACGTTTATTGGCTGACTCCCTTCCATCAATCAGCAGATCCATCAGTTAATTGGGCTGCTTGAGATCAGCTGATGTAGCTGGGATGAGAACTGAGCTTGACATTGTGTCCTGACTGAACTAACGCTACGCTCAATTAATTAAAGCTGAACTGAAAGTGAAACTGTATCTATATTCTCTTCAAAGTCTCTTCAAGTGTGAGAGTTTATAAACAGATGTTTCGATATAGTTTTGCTGCTGTCAAATTTGGTCCCCACGAGTTTTTCTTTTTCTTTGCCCCCGTCCTGTGTGTTTCATTATTCAGATATGCAGAGTGTTCCCTGCAGTGCTGCAGCGTTCTGTGTTTGCTGTTTGGTTATGAGTGGGCGTGTCATGCTCTTGTTTTGATTTGGGAATTCATTCTTCTCAGGTGTCAGCAGAGATCTGGCCTACTTCTGCCTCTGTGACATATTCGGCTGGTTCCATTTCTGCATTCAGCTGTTAGATTGAGAAAACACACAACACACAAACACACAGAGTCAGTCTCTGGTATTTCCTCAGTCTGACTAACTGATTAACTGGTGGCAGTTTTACCGAGTATGAATTATTGAAATCAGTTTGCAACCAGACTTGTTTTCACATCCTCCATTGTGACTATTTTTAGCCACACTAACTGTGTCGGTTGGTCCGTCACTTTGGTCCAGACTGAAATATCTCAGATACTTTTAGATGGATTGTGATGAAATGTGGTTGAGACATTCATGTTGTAAAAACTGTGGTGATCCTCTGACTTTTCACGTAGCGCCATCACCAGGTCAACATTTTAATGTGTCCAATACTTAGAGAGATAACCTCTTCAGAGCTGACATTCCCTTCAGCCTCAGCTGTCCTCTTGGTGCATCCTTACAGGGGTGCATTATCAGACAATCTGAGCACAGATATGCAAAAGCCCCCAGCAATCCTACACAGGAGAAAGACACACACACTTTATAGTTGTTTAGCCTTGTTTTGTGTTTTTGTTTTGCATCTTATTGTTGTGTTTTATGTCTCTTTGAGATAATATAGTGTCTTTTTTGGTCATTTTTTGTCTCTTTGTGGCTGTTTTGCCTCATATTGTAGTTTTATTGTGTCTCTTTTCAGTTCCTTTGCATCTCGGTGTGGTCATTTTGAATCTCTTTCTGGTCAGGTGATAATTTGAGTCACATTTTGCAGTTGAGCTTGATGTTGCCTTGCAAAACAGTATGACGTCAATACGTCAGCAAGTCAAAATATTGCGAGTATCACGACAAGAATTTTTCATATCATATTCAACATTATGCCGGTATTAGAGGCGACTGTGGCTCAGGAGGTAGAGCCGGTCGTCCAGTAATCGAAAGATCAGCGCTTTGATCCCAGCTCCTCCAGTCTGCATGTCGAAGCATCTTTTAGCAAGATACTGAGCCCCAAATTGCTCCAATGACTGTTCCACCGGTGTGCGAGTACGTTTAAAAACTGAGTAGCAGATGGCACCTTGTAGGTAGCCTCGGCCACCAGCGTATTAATGTGAGTGTGAATGGGTGAATGTGACTCGTAGTGTAAAAGCGCTTTAAGTGGTCAGATGACTAGAAGAGCGCAGTCTATTTACCATTATCATGAATGATATGATTTGGCACACCCCTACTAGGATAGAATAAAGTTAGAATAATAAAAATAATTAAAAAGTATTAGTTAGTGCAGGGATGTGTAATTGTGCGCATGCTAACTTGCTAATGTTTTGCTGTTATCAAAAAGCACTGCTTTGCTGATGTGCAGCATCACAGAGACGCAAACACGGCTAGAGACTCTTAACCTTTGGTCTTATTTTATATCAAATGGACCTTTCAGTTTTGACATGTTACAGACTGAGTGCTGACTCACTGAAGGCTCGTGCACACAGGAGGCGCCTCAGCATCTTTTTCAGTCATCTGTGTGTCTGATACGCTTCTATTTTAATCGATCCACCTCTCTACACAGGCTTTGTTACGTCTCATGTTTCACTCTCACTCATATAACCTCGACCTGAAGCATATTTTTATGCTTCAAGTCTATTTCCTTCTGTGTGAAGCTTGTGTCAACAGTGAATGTGTGCTGTGCACGGATCACCGCCAAAACACAGGTGACCTACACTGAGCACTGTTCGCCCAGTTACAGAACAGTTCAGTGCCTGCCAATAAACTTCTAAATGAGCCTTTGTTAGTCTCATGTTTTACCTGTAAAACTCATGTTTATTATCTGGGACATGAAAACAACCACATGAATAAAAATGTGTGTTCTGGTTATAGTTCATTTATAAAATCTTAAGTCACCAAGCATCTCTCCTGATTGCTGACTGGCTGTCAGTTGAAGAGTTAATGACACAGGTCAACAATAGAGGAGGTTTTAACTGATGTCTCTGAGGTCATATCTATCCATAGAGACCAAGATTATGCGTACACACCTGATGGTTATGGAATTATTCTTGATTTATTTTGGGTATGTCTGACCAGGCGAGCCACACTTCCCAGCACCATATAGTCATCGCAGATTTTTAACACAGCCAGGTGTGTCAATGACGGGGTGTGTCTGTGACAGAGAAGTGGCATTAATCAGATAAAGATAAGCTAAACTATTAAAAGATTTCTATTTCCTCTAAACTAGTCATGACATAGAACAATTACACAAATTGTATGTTACAGGTGAACCCTTTTTTAGAAGCATAGAACCTGAATAACCAGTCACCTGCGATCAGTCAACAAGACAAAACAAGTTTCTCTTAAAACTACTTCAATCTTTACTGATGGTGGAGCAGCAGGGAGAAGTGTATATTCAAGTGTGAAGTTGTTTTTATTGCGGCTCAACTCTGTTCCAACAGAGAGCACGAGGTTACATTTTGTTAACGTTCTCAACTCTTTGTGGAGGTTGTTTAGAAGTAGACTCGTACTTTACTGAAACATACAGGGCTCTGTTTAAATGATCTGTAGCTTGTGGTCAAAAGTGCATGGCACAAGTGCATTTAAGACATGTCCAGCTCCAGTTGTGATACTTGTGAACAATGCATAATCTGGATGCTATGTAAGTTGCAAGGAGCAAAGGGGTTGTGTTAAGTCCCTTGATTAAACATGGGTGTGTTTTGGTTGTTACATGAATTCAACCAACCAGAGTTTCATCTCCCATTCCGTTTAAAAGCCAGGTGAGGCTGCATCTGGTGCACTATTTACACAGCAGATGGAGAAGCGATGGTTTTCTGCTCAGAGTAATTCAGTAGGCAAGCCAAGTTTATTTATATAGCACATTTCAGTAATAAAGTAGATGTTCTTAAACTGCTTGACATAAAACATCAAAAGCATCTAGACATGGTGCAAAATAAGGACGTTGTAAAAGGACGTTTAAAAGCGAATCATTACAGAACTAAAGAATAGAAAATAAAAAGTTAAAATACACTAAGACTGGCATAAGATACAAGAATAAAAGTTACTGTACGTTCACACCAGAAGCTGCAAAAGAGGCAAAGTCTCTCGCAGACGCCCAAGAAGCACGACTGTCAAAAATATTTGTGGCAGCTTTGGTTGCTCTAGTTGCTCATCACGTGAATCATTGAACGTTCGATCGTGCTTGTCAGTTTTAAGGAGCCGCAAAGCGGACTACTGGCTTGAAAGCAGCGTAGTTGCTGCTTAATGTTGTCCAGTCAAAAAGCTCATAGTTACAGAAAGTTATGTTTGGTCAATGAAAACAGAGAACGTATGTCATCCCATTCAAACCAAGCAAGGAAGACTTGCATGCTACTTTGCAACATTAGCCTGTAATTCTCTCCTCTATTACTAACATTACACACTTTAAAACTCACCAGACCAACCAACTACCTCCGTGACGTGGTCCCAAGCCTCGTTCTTTTTATTTTGGTCTCTGTAACCGAACAGCGACACATTATAAAGGACTGAGTGGGCGCAAACGCAAGTAATAAACTTCTCGACATCCATTGTTGGAACAACTGTGCTGTAGGAACCAAAGTTACATGGCTTGTTCTCTGGGACCCGCTTCATCAATGCACGTCAGCATTCTGATTGGTTGCTGCCAAACTGCATCAGAGCTCATTGCCATAAAGTTAAACGAGTTTTAACTCTCCTCTGGACCGCTCCGGGCGCTTTGGTCGCCCAAGATGCGTGGCTGACGACCAAAGTTACATGGCTCACCCAAGTCGCCAGGCTCTTTTTGAAAATGAATGACTTCCGCCGTTTTGGAAGCTCTGGTCGCTGTTGGTGTGAACGTACAGTTACGGTGCAGTTAAAATCAATAAAACCATAAGAGCAGCAAAGTCACTGCCACAAATATCATGGGTCATTTAAGCAGCAAAACTAAAAACTGTAGTTACAAACTTGACAGAGGAAACAGAGCTAAACGTTTAGATTCTGAAATAATTGCCTTTGAATAGCAGAAAAATACTGCACCAGGTTTGGTCAACGGTGCAGTCAAAGAAACAACAACGTGCCTGACCACAACTCATTTTAAGACCTGCACGCCCATGGGTGCACAGATGGTATTTGTTACTTACACAATGTGCACACCACTCTGTACACAGGACCACAGCAACAGGACTCTGGGGCTGCCAATGTTTAATCTGTGATTCATTATGTGTGTGTGTGTATTGTTTCAGGCCCGTCTCCTGTGTGTGGCCACTCAGCACGGTGACCTGCAGAGTGTGTGTTACCTCCTGAAAGAAGCTCGTATCACTGTTCCCCAGGAGCCGTCCAACAGCAACCCAGCCATCCTGGCAGCGTACTACGGCCACGCCAGCCTCGTCAAAGAGCTGCTGGACTCTATACCTGGTAGGAGGAGGAAGACTGTGGGAGGAAGGGCGAACCTTTTGTTTGATTATGATAATGGTTGAACTTTGTGTTTAGTGCTTTCAGAACCGAAACCAAACTCCAGGTAGAAACTAAAAGTCAGGACTTGTGCTGATAGAGAATTAGAGATTTGATAGAGAATAATCTTTAGTTTACATAAATATATTTTCCTTATTAGTTTTGCTAATCTGCCTTCTGGTGTTTAAAGGTTACATACTGTGTTACCTGTGCTTTTAATTAAGGCTCTGACTCAATGTCATCACCACGTCCTGAGCTTGTTGGGAGAGCCGACGTGATATCGGCATATTTTGTATTTCCTGCTGAACTGAAAGTAGAACAAAAACTCATAACCTCTAACTGGCTCACTTGTAATGGTGTACCCCAGGGTTCTGTGTTAGGTCCGCTGTTATTTTCGATTTATATTAATAGTCTTGGTCGAAATGTGGTTGTTGCCAGTTTTTATTTTGAGGCAGACGACACAGTGAGTTTCCTATCACTCATCCATCCATCACAGAGGCTGTGGCCAAACTGTAGGCTGTCTTTAATGTTATCCAGATTCAGCTTTCACGACTAAAGATGGTCTTAAATGCTGAGTCTAGAGTCTAATACACGCACCAGGTTTGCTGGCGTTAGGTTGCTGCATCATAGGTCCTTTAAAGCTTTCAGAATAATAGAAATGGTCTCTGGACTGACAGAAGCTCTGCGGTGCAGTCTGTGTGGATGTTAATGAAGAGAAGAGCATAACCTGACTGACCTCTGCTGACTGCTGTTTGCTCTCTGTCTCCTTTCAGGTCCATGTCTGAGGAGAGACTTGCTGAACTGGATGCTGGCCACATCCTGCCAGCAGGGTCACCTGGACGTGGTCCGGCTGCTGGTCCACGGCTACGATGCTGATGCCAAAGACTGCGCCATCCACAGCGATGAGTTTGCTGTCATCACTGGGCTCCCGCTGTACGCTGCTGCACGAGCAGGTAGAGACACACACATGAGAACACTGTAGACATCGTCGGTACTGACACAGCACACCACTGGAGACTGCAGTTTGGATTTGCTGCTTTACTGATGCAAAATCCCCAAAGTAAAGAAAATATTATTCTTACTCTGCCTTCAAAAAGTATCTAACTCCTGCATTCACGTCCTGGAAATACTGTATGTCAGATCAGATGTTGAACCAGAGTTTCAGCCTTGACAAGCTCATTGATGATTGTGATTGCTTATCAGTAATAGCAGCTCCTTTATGCTCTAACTTTATGGCTTGCAACACCGTGATTAATTTAACATTATTAATGTTAGGCCACTAAATTGTTCGACAGTTTTAAATGGCAGATTGAAGTACCGGCAACATAAATCTGCCCTTTAATCCTGATCCTGCCCCGGCTGACCAATCACAATCCAGTCACAGGGAGCTAAGCACCACCTACAGCAGCTGTGTGTCCATGGCTAAGCTGTAACTCCTTAATGCATACCTAGAGACAATTAATTCTTTAAACGCTGAACACCTGCAAGAGAAAACACCAGGTTAGAAACATGTAAAGCAGAAGTGCTGGAACAGTTCTGGTGACAGATACAGCGTGAACACTGTCCACCTCTGGTGCTGTGAACACATGAAGTGAGTGGCATGTTTTGTGTTGCAGGTAATGAGGAGATAGCTCGCTTCCTGCTGCAGAATGGAGCAGGATTCTCCTCGTACACACTGATGGACCATCCAGCCTTCAGCAAACACCTCCTCAGACTCCAAATACAGGAAACCTCCAACGCAGAAGGAGAGGAGGTAGGTAGCAGCGTGTCACCACTGTGTTCCCGAGTAGAAAACAGTGCAGCAGGAAAGACAGCCTATAAGGAGTTGTTTTCATACCATTAAATTTATGTGTGTTTCAAGTTTAATTGCATATCCAGCTGATAGAGGTGCAGACAGATAGCTTTGGATCAGAGCTGTTTTGCCCATAGGTTAGTAAAAGAGAACAGAGTTGACAGAGTGTGTCTGGGATTTGGAAGATTCAAAGACGTTAAACAGAAACCTGATAATGTTAGAATCATATTAATTAGCAGGTTATGCTCTCTGTCATATCCTGAATAAGATTCAAACCATAAGAAGACATAACGGGAACTGGTGTCCATGTAGAAATACTGATTTACAGATGATGACATGACACAGAGCACTTGTTTGATGTCCTCAGAAAATGACTTTTCTGAGGGCAGCTTCAGTGCTCATTAACTTGTTCTGCCTGTCGAGGGTTCAGGAGACACACCGTTCATTTCTCACCACCTGCAGAACTAATGATGTGGTCTGGGTCAGTGATGTTCCTGCTGCTAGCTGCAATGTGTCATGTTAGCCAGCCAGAAGCCTATCAGCTGTAGTGTGAAGACATTTACCTCTAAAAAGTTATTTTACAGTTTTAATATACTGAAAATGTCCACATATGTTATCTGATATTGTGATGATGAGCTCTCTGCAGCACAGACCTGTCTATGGAAATGAAAATAAGAAATTGAGAATAAACTGAAATGAATAAATAAAGTGCAGGATTTACATATAAACAATTAATCTTGTTTTTTTCAAAGGATCTTTTCTAGACTGGATTTGAAATTTTAGAACCATGACCAGATTACCTTCAGTGTTACCACTGTAATTTGGTTTAGTTCATCTCATAACTACAACATCATATTATGGCCATTTTACAGGAAGTAAAACAAAAATACTAGCTGGGGGAGGGGGGAATATTTCGATAAATAAGACAAGACAAGACTTTATTTATCCCACTCTGGGGAAATTCAAACGTTACAGCAGCTCAAGAGTCAGAAGCAAAAGAAAAAGAGGGAAAAAAGTGACTGAGTGCCAAGAAAGGATAAAAATATTACAAAATACAAATTACATTTAAAGCAGTAAATTTACAGGCAAAACCCACAAATTTACGGTAAAAGAAACTTGAATATTTTAAGTTGTAAATTTGAGAGAAAAAACTCAGAAATTAAAGTCACAAATTTATGACAAAAAACAAGGAAAAGTATGAATGAAATCACATATCTAAACATGTCTATGTCTTGTTGTAACAACAGGTTGCCATTGCTAGATGTCCAGTTAATAGTTTATAGTGTTACCAGACAAAAATGGCCTATTGATGCACAGATTTGCAAATATAAGAAACTGGGTTAGAGAGGGTAGAGTGGGTTTACGCACCCAAATAAACCTAATAAATACCAATAAATATCTTGCAAAAAAATTAATTCATGGTGTAATTTGACACAAAATACAGTTTATTACGTCTTACAAGTGTACCGTAAAATAAAAGCAGCCCAAGCAGTGTCTGTGGTTTTTGTAAAGTTGATTCAACCATCGCAAAGTGAAGCAATGTGGTTCCTTGACCAGTGTGTCATAAATGTGTGACTCTAATCTCAATTTTTTTTGGGCAGTTTATGACTTTATAATCCCAGAGAATATCTTGTTTTTTTAGCTCATCTGGGTTCAGTTGCTAATGTTCATTTATTCACTTTAATAAAACGTTAAGAATTATGATGTGTTATGAATAAATTCATAATACTTTTAGTCAAGGTGGTTAGAGGTGGCTCTCCTCATGACGTCATGCCGTCTGTCTGTCTGTCTGTGCGCAGGCTGTCAGTGTGTCCTGGAGCGGTCTGCAGCTGCCCTGGCTGGAGCTGGATTGGTTCATGGATGTCTCGTCACGTATCACCCACCTGGATCTGTCATCCAACAGCCTGGCTGCGCTGCCCTCTGTGGTGCCCTGGGGTCTCATGCGGCTGCAGAATCTGGATCTTTCTAACAACCTGCTGAAGGAGCTGCCAGCTGCTCACAGCTCCCAGGAGGTCATCTGCTCCAGGTATGTTTGCCACTTAACTAGAGGATCTGAATATTTCTCCTGCCACTGCTCTGTAGAGCTCCAAATAACTCCAAACTGTCTCACTATATTTAAATCCAGTATCTAAGGGTGTCTTCTTGGCTACGGATTTACCAATCCACCCACTGTGAGGACTGGACTTCAGAGATACTGAACCTTGTTGTTGTTGACTCTGAATGCTCTTGAAACCACAATCAGTACATTTAGATGACATTAGAGAAAATCGATTTATTGTGTTAGTCTGGCTAAAACCAGACTTTTAAACTACATGTAAACATGTTAGTCTGACTGAAATCGGACTAAAGTGAATTTCTCAAAGTCGGGCTGACACACCCAGATAATTAGCCTGGAAATCCAGACCCAAATCTAGAAAGATTTAGGGTCTGGCCATGAGTAATGAAAATGGCCCAACTCGAGGGGCGGTGCCAAGCATGCATTTGTAAATATCACTGCACGCAATTGGATAACACTACGACCAATCAGAACAATACTTAGCACTAAGCGCTAACTGGTAGATTAGACTCTTACCGTATCCGGTCGGCAAAACAGCAAAAACGTCCTTCTTGCAAAGAAAAGATTTGAGCGCCGTCTTCTGTTCCTCTTTTAGAGAAAAAGCCAAGTCTTACTCGTTCATTGTAGCGGCCAAAGCCGTTTCAAACAACTGGTGTTCATCCGTAGCCATCTTGCAGTGTTTACTGACTGATTTCGGACTTCGTTGTCGCAGCGCTGTCGTCATCTGTTTAGCTCGCCTCTTGCCCGCCTGTATCAGATACACCGATGTGATTGGTGCAGCTCGGCTCCAATGGCATGAGTAATGAGCATCATCACTGAGTGCCAGAGTGACTCGCTGAGCAAATTCAAATTGTGCTCTCGCGAGAACTTTGGATTTCCAGGGTACCAGATTATGTGACTGGGAGTCAAATTCCTCCTGCATGTATACAGTCAGTGAGACCAAAACTGGCTGAGGCGCTCTGAGCATGCTCCACAGATTCTGCCCTGGGCTTTGACCTGGAAGTGAATAGCATTAAATGTGTAACAGAAGAAAGCTGAATCCAAATGTCTAAAACTCCCAGACTTTGTGGGCGTGCTCATGGGAAGTCTGGTAGTGCTGAGGCCTCCAAATCCACAATTCAGCCAGTCCACAAGGGGCCTCAAGTGGACTTTCTGCAGACTTCCAGAGAGTCTGGACAGTCTCGGGGGCTGTCTGTCAGCCACTTGCAGTCTCTGCCCTCACAGACTTTACATGATGATAGTAAATGCGTCACATTAGTTCAATTGAAGTCTGTAAGGGTGGACATTTGGATTCAGCTGAAGAAGCTGGTAACAACATGATGCCATCGACATCCAGAGCCGTGCATTAATGAATGGATGAAATGTACAGAGCCGTGACTTTGTCCACCATGGCACCAGTTAGCTGCTAGCTAACCGTAGCTAACATGTTGGTCGATTGTTTCGTCTGTGACACAACAGGTCAACCAGAAAAAGGTGCAATACTTACAAGCTGAAATTAGGCATATCTCCACCTTTTGTTGCGGACTCGGACATACTTCTGTCAATAAATCAGTTCCCCTCCAGTGCTTGTATACTGGGACAAGGACAGTAGTCCAGTAGGCCTAGTCAAGCTGTAACTGGAGCTCAACTTAATTGTGCGTGTAAACGTACTGATTGTCTCATTCTCTGTTCCTCTGTGTCTTAAATTCAGATAATACAGTGTGGATGAATAGCTTCCCCCTTGTTTCCAGTCTTCGTGTTAATCCAGGCTGAACATGTCCTGAAGTCAATTCTGTGGACTCAGAGATTAAACGAATATTGATCTCCTCTTACTTTGGCTAAAATGGCAAACAAGCTTATTTAAGTATTCCCTCAGCGAAGGCATTTACAAGTGTGGGCCAAACACTGATTCAGTGTCTCAGTCCTGGATGTAGCTGCTTGTGTCATAAAGAGTAAACTCATCAGCTGTCATTGTCTCTCCTGTGCTTCAGGTTACAGCAGATAAACCTCTCCCAGAACCAGCTCACCAGTTTACCACCTGGACTTCTCCATCTGACCCGCATACAGAGGATTTCTGCTGCTAAGAACCAGCTCACCGTCCTGTTTGACATCCCTGACAGTACGTTCCAACTCTGCTTCTGTAGAACTATTGTACGCATGTAGACTAATGTATGTAATAAATATTTAATGTAGATTTAAAAGTATATATTTACTCAGTGTTTGTCAGGCGCGTGTCAGGGGTTATTTTGAAAGAGATGGCCCAAGAGCTGTAACCCTACAAATACGCTGCATCATAAACACATCCTAAAACCCAACTGAAGCAACAGTTCTTTAATTCGTCATTTGTGCAGGTGTAATTCAGACTTTGGCTGTGTGCTTTATTTCCATTCTGTCAGCTACGAACTGGATCGGCCTCCGTAAGCTGGAGGAGCTGGACGTGTCCGATAACTGTCTGACCATTTTGCCCACATCCGTCATGCACTGTTTGAAATCCCTGAGCTTCCTCAACGTGTGCAGGAACACACTGATCACCTTCCCTGATCCCTGGGCCTGTCCACTGGTAAGAAACCAGACTGCTGATGATCCACTTCACACATCTTTTTCCTTTGCTGTCTATAGGCACTCTCATTTACAGGATCTTGATCTGTGTTGCATCATGGTGAAGGAGCTGTTTGAGAGGCTTAGCTACCGTGCCAAAGATGACATTTGAGGAGAATGATGAAGGTTCACACAGAATGTTGAATATTTTTATTGCGTTCCACAGATGAGTGTATTTTGTTGTTTCTGTTGTTCTGGCTTTTGGTCCCAGACAGGGCAGAGGAGTCACAGACTAAAGCTGGGCATACACTGTATGAAAATGTTGTTGTTTAATTCCAACTCCCACTGAACCATTAAATCCTCTTTTGATTTATGTCCTCACACTGAATGGTACGATCATCAAAATCAGTCAGAGGGTACAGTCAGTGTTAAAGTGAGCAGGTGGGATTTGAGATGGGATTTGAAGGATGTTATGCTGTCAGACGGTGGGGGTAGGGCGTTCCAAAGGCTGGGGGCAGTGTAGCTGAAAGCCCTGGCACCCATGTGCTGAGGCGTGAGATGGGGATGATCAGGAGACCAGCAGAGGAAGAGCGCAGGGAGCAGGTGTACTCCTGGAGAAGGTCAGAGGGGTAAGTGGGGGCCGGGTTGTGCAGGGCTTTGAGGGTGAGCAGGAGGTTATTGTAGTCGATCCGAAACTGAACAGGGAGTCAGTGTAGTTAGATGAGGATGGTGGTGATGTGGTTGGATGATTTGATACGGGTGATGATCCAGGCAGCTGAGTTTTGAATGATTTGAAGCCTGTAAATGAGTTTGGTGGGAAGGCCAGAGAGAACTGCGTTACAGTAGTCAATATGGGATGTAACAAATGCGTGGGCCAAGACTTCAGTGCTGGACTGGGACAGTGATGGGCAGAGTCTGGAAATGTTGTGGAGGCGGAAGAAAGCAGTCTGGGTAATGTTTTTTATGTGAGGGTCGAAAGAAAGAGTGCTGTCCAGGATGACACCGAGACTCGTGACGTGGCTGGAGAAGGGTACAGGGAAGTTGGCAGTGATGACGTGTGGGACTTTTGGATTTTGGATGTGGTGTTTTTGGAGCCAGTGTGCCTCGGTTTTGCTGCTGTTGAGCTTTGAAAAGTCTGTCTCTCACATGAACACACACACATACATTAGCAAGTTAGCAGCACGTACAAGCTAGCTGGATAGACACTGTGCGATTAATTGAGTGAGAAAAGAGGCACTCATCTTGTGGCTCTGCTTCAACTGTTTGACAGCCTGACAATGACCGTCTGAAATTTCTGACATGTCAGAACCTTCTCCAAATGTCCAAGGGCTGGTCGGGAAGAGTGGGTCCTCGCTCCCCCCCTGCACCCTGCCGGCAAATGATGCCGGACAAAGCTGAAATTCGGTCCAACTCCAAAAATAAGGCGTGAGGCTCAAAAATCTTGTCAGAATGAGCTTAAATTGTACAGTGTATGCCCAGGTCAACACTGGACACACATATTGGTGTTGTTGGTCTTTTCCTGGGATGTGTTTACAAGAGGAAACATAAAATAACACCAAACTTGTGCTTTAAAGTTTGGGGAATGCACAGTGCATATCTTACTGTCGACTAAAACTGCATTATCGTAATATTGATCAACTAACCACACAGTAACAGCTGAACCTTCATCACGGAGATGCTGATTGTTCTTGGGAGGGGTCAATAAAGTATGTTTTCCTCATAGTAACAGAAATGCATCCTCTTCTTCCTCCTCTCCTGCAGAAACAATGCAAAGCCTCCTCCAACGTGATCGAGAGTCTTCCCAACACCATCTCCATCTTCTGGAGGACTCAGCTGCAGGAGGTGGACTTCTCTGACAACAACCTGAAGGAGCTGCCCTCATATATCTTTGAGCTGGAGGTAGGAATCATTTTCTGGACCTGTTGTATGTGCACCAGGCTGCAGTGCAATTACTAGTTACACATATATTGATTCAACAGAAATAGATGCATTAACAGTAAAAGGAGTCCAACTCCTGTGTGTGTGATGTGTTCAGTAGCCTGCAGATGGCATTGCTGCTGTGTAGTTGACTTCATGTTTGAGTCACTGAAGCACCAGGAGAGAGTTAGAGTGCAGTAACATGACTTTCTGTTAGAAATGTAATGGTATTAATTCTTTTAAAAATAATGGTCTCTTTTAGAAAAAAAGAAAATTAAACTGAAAGGAAATCACAATAAACGTACTGGCCATTAATAACAAACGTGTGACAAATTTATTATGGGCGTCTTCTTGTTTTTACTCAGCGTCCTTTTGACTTTCAGGGTGTGTTGTTTTCAAATGTTGGAAGAGGTTGTTACTCATGTTGCTGCTGTGTTTTACCTTCTTGTCACACATAGTGCATGTTTCTGTCTCTATGTTTATCTGCAGGGTGAGAAGCAGCACCACACTACGCTTCCTCTCCGTCATTCTCTCTCGTTTAGTAGATGCAGAAGTGTGCGACTGCATGCAGCTGTTTTAATGTCACATAGTTTTGCAGGGTCATGTGACACGGGCCAGCTGAATGTCAGAGCGGCTTTGGCACAAACATACAAAAGCACTGAAAACATTCAGAGGTGAAGCAGCCATCCATTATTTGTATTTATATCATTTTATTATCAATAATTCTTTAAAAGAATCAATACCAAATTTATTCAACCTTGACTACAGTTTAGGGACGCACGATATTGGATTTTTTGTCGATATCCGATATGCCGGTATGTAACAACTCATTTGGCCGATAACAGATACGAATTTTGATATATTCACTTTTTTCCCCACCTAATTTTAGTGATCATCAAGTCTCTTCTGTAGTGGAATTAAAGGGATAGTGCACCCAAAAATGAAAATTCAGCCATTATCTACTCACCCATATGCCGAGGGAGGCTCAGGTGAAGTTTTAGAGTCCTCACATCACTTGCGGAGATCCAAGGGGAGAGGAGGTAGCAACACAACTCCACCTAATGGAGGCTGACGGCGCCCCAGATTCAAACATCCAAGAACACATAATTGAAACCACAAAATATCTCCATACTGCTCGTCCGTAGTGATCCAAGTGTCCTGAAGCCCCGACATGAAAAGTTTTTTTGGAAAAATGTCATTTGAACTCTGTTTTTAGCCTCATTGTAGCCTGTAGCTCTGACTGCCTCTGTGCACCGCACTCACGTGTGCGAGACCAGCAAAAGTACATGAACACACATGAAGGCGGTGCCCATGTCTCACGGTCTCGCGCAAGCATGCACACGTGAGCGCGGTGCACAGAGAGGCAGTCAGAGAGAGTTTAAATGATGTTTTTCCAAACAACTTTTTATGTCGGGGCTTCAGGACACTTGGATCACTACGGACGAGCAGTATGGAGATATTTTGTGGTTTCAATTATGTGTTTTTGGACGTTTGAATCTGGGGCGCCGTCAGCCTCCATTAGGTGGAGTTGTGTTGCTACCTCCTCTCCCCTTAGATCTCCGCAAGGGATGTGAGGACTCTAAAACTTCACCTGAGCCTCCCTCAGCATATGGGTGAGGAGATAATGGCTGAATTTTCATTTTTGGGTGCACTATCCCTTTAATATCATATTATACATGCATTATCGTATTGTGACAGCCCACCAGCAGGTGGAGACATGAAATACAATACTTTTCAATGTATGTAATACTCATTCATTGTACAAATTAAGAAAAAGCATGTTGGGCGTTTCTGATGGTTCATTTTAAAGTCATTATGGGCCAATAACAATGACGTGCCAGTAGTATCGTGCATCCCCACTACATTTAACAAACTAACACTCACCAGCAACATCCAGTGTCTGCTGGTCGATCCGCAGGCCCTTAGGACAGTGGTTCTCAGCTGGTGGGTCCCAGGTCCAATCTGAATGGACCCCAAGTGACTTGCAAACATGTCAAAAAACACACTTTATTTTGAAGTACAGGGAATTTCACAGTGAATTGACACTGACACTGAACTGACCTTAAACTAACGACCAAGGGGAACCACTGTGTTAGGGAGCCTGAGGTTTTTGCTTACAGGGAACTTCAGCGTATGTTTACCTCATCATCTGAAACTTCGCCCTGTTTTATTTGAATTTCCTTCCTTGTAACACTACACATCAGACACAAAGGTCTCCTTTAAAAATCCTGACAGCTTTGTTATATGACCCATTGTGGAACCAACAAAGGAGAAAGAATAAAGAGAAAACAAAAGACAGTCTTATAAAACTTAAATGTCCCCAAAGGGCCAATTTGTGGTTCAGCGTGGTAAACAAGGAACATAATGTAGGCACAAATGTACATTAAATGTAGTCATAATTAAAACCAAGGACAAGGAAAGCAAAAACAAAAGTCAGCCGTCTATCAAATAACTAAGATGGCTTTAATACATCCTTGTATATGGCGCTTTCTTCTGACAGCTGGGCTATTGCATGATCAATAAATGACAATAAATTTAAAGATGATATATAAATGAAAGTGGAAAGGTTTATGGGTTTATCAGTTTTTCTGCTGAACACAATTTCACGACTTGCATTCGTTTTTATCTGCCATGTTACCAGATACATCTCTTTTGGAACAGAAACCATTTTTAGTTCTTATGGGAGCTGCTGCAGCAAAACAATATCACAGCCTCTGTGTCATACTTAATGCATGTTTTCTTCCAGGCTTGGCAGCATCTCTTATCACATCTCTTTCCTTCTTAAAAGATGCCTAATGTGAATGACTAATGAGTGAACGATTTGAGGCAACATAACACAGTAACCACAGTGAGAACTTTGGAGCTTATGTTTTCTTCGCTGTATGGGAAAGCTGGCCAGTAATACAGTCAGCCAGCTGTCTATGTACTCCTTGAAAGGAAAATGTGAATGTGTGGTTTACAGTATCTCACCCCTCCTCCCACTCGTCCTCCCATCAGGCTCTGGTCTCGTTGAGATTGTGTGGGAATCACATTGCGACACTCCCGGCCCCCAGTAAGTGGAAGTGCTCCCAGCTCAGGACCCTTGATCTTTCCAGGAACCAGCTGGGCAAGTAGGTCCACACTGTAGATACACACTGCCAGCTGTTACTGAACAACACAACCATTCACTGCTGAGGTCACTGAAGGTCATATGTGAAGAAACACTGGGTGGTTTTAATGCAGAGATAAAGAGATGGATAAAAGATAAAACCAGATGCAGTCTAGTACGGCTAAGAATTTTTCTAGTCAACCACTAGTCCTCATCAGTGGACTAGTCGCCCACATGTTAATGATATGAATGTAATGATTAAATGATATATTTTGGTGGTTTGAGTTGAAGGTGTGAGAAAGAATAGTATCAGTAACATTGTTAACACTGTGCTACATTACAGAGAAATACAAAACTGTACTAATGAACCTTCATTAATATAGGCCTATATTTTATCTACAAGTGCACGTCACACACTGAGCGAGCCGCCTGTTAATGACGCTGTGGGCTAATGGGCATGTAGCTACTTCCATGTTTCAGATGATACGTCATGTTTGTAGTCGACCAATGAAGATGAGTTTACATATCACCTTGGGTTCGTCCTTCACCTTCTCAAAATGATCCCACACTTTGGATTTCCTGCCCGACATGTTATTAACTAGCCTGTGGAGTAACCGCAGGTACCAGCCCTGGAAATTAACCTGACGAGGACACTTCCTGTGTCTGTCCTTTCAAATTAAAGTCACACATGGTCCAGTCATATAGGCTTTGAGTTATTTTGACATTTGATACACATTAAGACCAGCATCACATCATCGCAAATACCACGCCCCCTTTTGGGTAAAAGAAATGTAAATAAGAAGTAAAGAAGAACTGCAGAAAAGCTGTTGTGTAGCAGGTTAACTGAAGCTTTCACACTGAGATCTAAGGCACAGAAGATACATGAATATTCACAGTCAGTTTGATACTAAATGATGCTGATGACAGTTACCACTGATGGATTGCTAAAGTTAACCTGAGTGGGCGGCAGCTGCAGCACAGTTACACAGCACAGCAGTATCAGGCTGTTGTCTCCAAGTAAATCAAACAGAGGGCTATTGACAGGTTGGTTATTTACAGACAACACATATTGTACATGTCTAGACGTCGGGATATGAAATACTTTGTTGTATTACTGGGGAAGCCCAAGGGAGCATGGCGTCAATCAACTGTAGTCTATTAACATATCACGAACGCTCAGGTTCAGGCAAGGTGGCAAACAATTTTTAAACATGTGTTTAAAACAAATGTTTGTTTAACAAGAAATAAATGTAACAGATGTGTAAAACAAATTGGTTCCTCTGCCCCAAAATAGCGCATAGTTTGCTTATCCGTAAAAGACTTGGAAGGAAGTGTTTCATAATGTATGGCTGTATTGCAATGTAATCTTACACATTTAAAACTATGTTAAGTCAGAGAAATGTTGTACAATATTATGGAAAAGTTCTGCATTAGTTTTGAAACTCATTGGTCAAAATGTGTGGGCACCCTGACTGTATCATATCGGGCTTAGAGCAGAGTTCTTGCCTCTCTTACTTTTTACTTTCTGTCAGTAAACTTGTCATATCTCTAAATATTTCTGAATCATATAAAGCTAAAGCCCTTGCAGTGTAATGTTTGTAAATGAGGGCTTTTGTCACTCCTTCTTAATGCTACTGTGCTTGACATTACTGGACTTGTTGCTGTGTCTTTAGAACAGAGGAAGGGCCCAAATCCAGGAGGCTGGCCTTCCTGAGTACATGGAACAGAAGGGACCCAGACCCAGGTAGGTCTGCTTTACATACATGGAAATAATTAACTCTAACAAGCTGAACCTAATGTCTGCTACTAATGTTGACCTCAGAGCTGATGTCAGGGCTGTAGAGTCAGAACATTTCTCAGCATTACTTGACATTTTGTCTTTGCATTTGTGCCACAAACTGAGAATGTTTAACAACATATTTGCCTGTTTTATTTGTTGTTTTCTGTATGATGAGCACAAGGCGAGTTGAATCCAGTTTTGGCTCATGAATCATTTGATGACCCTTCAAATTCTTCTTGCCCCCCATTGAAGAGGTCCCACTCCACTGTCTGGGAACCACAGCTCTAAGACAACGCTCTCTCTCAGCCTCTGAATGACAATAAACAAACAATCTCTAACCTCCCACATGAAGTGAACTATCTCTGACCCCGTCCCTCAAACTAACCTTTGATTTATGCAGCGTGTTCAGAGTTTACATGATCTGAGATAAAGACTTGACCTCCTGGTGACGAATCTGCTGTCACAGTGATTCCCAACCAGGGGTACTTTTTATTCATTAAAGTAGGACTAGTCCATACCCATTGAGTGCACAGTTGCCCACGAACAGTTTAACATGGTGTGTGTTTGGGATACAGGTCATAGGAAATTGCAGATTAAATAGTCAACTGAACCCATTAAGAAGAGCAATGTATTCATAGCCTGAGTGTCAGACTGAAGCTCCCAGAACCTTCAGTCTGACATGGCTTCCATTGAAGGCGATTTACAAGGGGGAGGGAATTTGATTTTTTCCCTAACCAATCAGTAGAGATCAACGACTCACTCAGAATGTGACGTCATTAGTATCCATGCCTTGGGGGTGCCGAAAACAAGCGAGCATTGCCCGTTTAAAATGTCTCCATCGTCGTGCA